AGAAAGATTCCAGGTCCGGTAGGCATATGCTCTGGGATCGATCAGAGGTGAGTCCTTAATAAAGCTGACCACTGGAAGTGGAGGAAACTGGGATAGGAGACCCAAACACAACCCACCTGTAAAACAAGGAAATTCTTTGTCTTTATAGACTTTAGAGGCTAGTGTTCTCTGAGTTTAGAGGTGTTGTGGAGTAATCTTTTTGTTCACTGTGAAGATGTGTCACCCTGATTGGTGTAATAAAAAGCCGAACAGCGAATAGCTACGCAGGAGGAATAGCAGGAACTCCTGGACAGAGAGGGCTCTGGGAGGAGGAAAGGGGTGTCGCCAGGCAGACTGGGAAAGAAAAAGGGTGGGCAAAATGAAAATGAGGTAGTGAGCACGTGGAAGAGCGTAGGTTTAAAAATATGGGTTCATTTAAGTTATAAGAGCTAGTTAGAAACAAGCCTAAGCTAATAAGTTCTTGTGAGCTGGCGGCCCGAAAAAGGATCATCTACAAAGAGAGGTGAGGATCTCTGTTTAGCAGATGAATGAATGAAGTTTAGATGAGATAGAAGGCATTAATTTAGGGAGTTAATTGCCCCACCTTACCTGGAGGCAATTACACATTGGGAGTTTAGCACTTTAGGGCAAGTATGAGGTAGTCTATAAGGCGTGGGTGATACCTAGATGGGGCAGCTTCTGTCCACACAGACAAGAACAGCAGAACTTCCTTTAATAGTAGAAATGCTTTCTTTCTTTCCTTTTTTGTTTTTGTTTTTTATTTTGATTTTCTCTGGTTTTTGTTTTTGTGACAGAGTTTCTCTATGTAACCTTGGCTATCTTGGAATTCTCTCTGTAGTCCAGGCTGGGCTCTAACTCACAAAGATCCACCTAGCTCTGCCTCCCGAGTGCTGGGATTAAAGGCCACCACCACTTGCCTTATTTTGATTTTCGAAACAAGGTTTCTCTATGCAGGCCTGGCTGTCCTGGACCTCACTCTGTAGATCAGGCTGGTCTCGAACTCACAGAGAACTGCCTGCCTCTGCCTGAGTGCTGGGATTAAAGGTGTGTGCTACCATTCATTGCCTGGCAGTATTTTCCAAAATAATGAGAAAAAGAATAATATAAGAAATGCATAGATCTGCCCATAACATAGCTGTTTGTTTTGAAGTATCATGTAGTGTGCATAACCCTGTACTATACTAGAGGACAGACAGCACAGTAAGTGTGCTTACACTAGCATTTTCACAAATCCAGCCTTTATGTGTTGTGCTATGACCTTACAATGGCTGTGACATCATGGGGTGGAAGGAATTTTCAACCCCATTATGTTCTCATGGGATCATGGAATATGCAGTTTGTTACCAATATCAATAACCACCTAGTTGTTTCAAAAATTTATTTTTAAACTATGTATGTGGGCTGTAGAAGAGGCACTCTGAAAGGCTGCATATTTTAAATAAACGATAAGATTGTCGCCAGGTGAAGGTAGCACATAGCTTTAATCCAGCACTCAGGAGGCAGAGGCAGGAGGATCTTTGCGAGTTAGAGCCCAGCCTGGACTACAGAGAGAATTCCAAGATAGCTAAGGTTACACAGAGAAACCCTGTTTCAAAAAGACTAATCAGAGAAAAAAAATGTGTCTGTATGACGTGGGAGTGCTCTCGGTGCACGACACAGTGAACCTGCAGGAGCCAGAGGACGAGTTTCAGGAGTCCGGTCTCACTGTCCACCTGGCTGAGGCAGGTTCCTCCTGGTTTCTGTGGCCATGCTGCACACTCCGGCTTCTGTGACGGGGGTCCTGTCTCTGCCTGTAGGAGCACTGGGATTATAACATCAAGGAGTCTCTGCATCTGACTTCTACGTGGATTCCAGAGATAGAACTCGGGTTATCAGGCTTTTGAAGCTAGCACTTTGCCCTGCCCCCCTTCCTTCCTCTCTTTCTGAGACTGGGTGTCCTTATGTAGCCCAGGCTTGCCTTGAGCTCACGGCAATCCTGAATATCAGGATTTAGGTGTACACCATTAAACCTGGCCTATGTTTCCTTTTTCTATAGGTACTGTTGCGAAATCATCCTCTCTGGGGTGATTTACAAGTAACTAACACCTGTCTTGAACTCCTGCCAAATGAGAGGGTGACTAATATTTTAGTACTGTTCTCTAAAATGGTAGTAGGCTCAAGGAAACACACAACAGTTGTTTTCTCACCAGACACATGGGCCTAAAATTGTACCTTTATAAAGAAGTGAGTGTATGTTTGTAGGTCATATATATGACATAGGATGACCTTGTAGGAACAAGGCAGGAAAAACATAAAGACAAAATGCTGGATGTAGGGGCACACATCTGTAGTCCCAGCATTTGGGAAGCTAAAAGGCAAGATGAGTGGAATTCCAGGCCAGCCTGGGCTACTTGTTAGTGAGACTGTCTTTCGATGGGGAGGAGTTATTGACAACAGTTTCTCATGTAGCTCAATCTGGCCTGGAATTCATTCTGTATCAGAAGGTGGTCTTGAACCCCTGATTATCCTACTTCCACCTCCCAAGTGCTAGAATAACAGACATGGGTCACCATGCCCAGCTAACTGGTGGTTCTGGTTTTTTGGTTTTTTTTGTTTTTTTTTTTTGAGACAGGGTTTCTCTGTGTAGCTTTGCGCCTTTTCTAGAACTCGCTCTGTAGATCAGGCTGGCCTCAAACTCACAGAGATACACCTGCCTCTGCCTCCCCAGTGCTGGGATTAAAGGCATAAAACATATTTTTCCCCCTGAGACAGGGTTTCTTTGAGTAGTTTTGGTGCCTGTCCTGGATCTCATTCTGTAGATCAGGATGGCCTTGAACTCACAGAGATCTGCCTGACTGTGGCCTCCTGAGTGCTGGGATTAAAGGCGTGCGCCACCACTGCCCGGCAGTGGTTCTGTTTTTAAAACAAACTTGTTAGAAGCCAGGTGTGGTCACACACACCTTTAATCCTAGCACTTGGGAGGCAGAGGCAGATGGATCTCTGTGAGTTCAAGGCAAAAACAAACAAACAACAAAAAACCTGGTTAGATTGAATACAGAAAAATTTTTTGAGGCAGGATTTTCTTGTTAAGTAGCACTGGCTAGCCTTTAACTAGACATCCTCCTGCCTCAGCCCTCTGAGTGTTTGAATTATAGGCATTCATCAACACTACCCACTTTTAACATAGAATTTGAATGCACTCTGAGTTAGTGATTTTGTAGAATTAGTATTTAAATTAAAAGTGTTTGGAATTTGCCCATTAAACACTGTAGTATCTCGAAAAATCCCTTCTGACCCTCACCCAAATGACATCAGTCAGACTTCCCTAAAAGCCTCGGGGGAGGGGGTAGCTCAATGGCTCTCCTGTTTATTTGTTGTTCTAGATGAACCTGGCTCTATCAGGAACAAGCCAGGTTTCATAAATTAGTTGTGCTGGCATAGTGCCTGACTATAAGAATATAATAAATCAGTCAATGGTGAATCAAAGCTGGTCAGAGTCAACTTCTTGCCTTCTTGTTGAGAGAGTGGCTGGAGAACACCCTGGTCTGTCTTTTCTTTGCATTTGCTGTTTGAGCATTTGTTCATTCAACCAAGGAAAGAGTCTACCTTAGGCAACACGCCAGGCCTTCCACAGGGAAGAGACAGGTAACTCTCCCGATCCACCTGACAGAAAGGTACAGGGGCTGCGATCGAAGGAGGAGACTGACCCAGACAGGAGGGTCAGAAAAGGCTCCCCAAAGGGAAACGAAATTGAATTCAGGAAGGACTTGTGGGAATAATGATTAGCCCAGTGAGAGGTAGAAGGTCAGTAGTAGAATCTGCCTGTGTAAATTCCAGCCACAGGGAATAGGCTTTGAGATAACTAAAGCGCTTTGGCCATGCTGGAGTTTAGAATTTATGAGGGGCAGTACTGCTAATGAGTTAGACATTCTTTCTCTGTTTGTTTGTTGGGTTGGGTTTTTTTTTTTTTTTTTTAAGGCAGGATTTCTCTGTGTAGACCAGGCTGGCTGGCCTTGAATTCACAAGAGATCCGCCTGCCTCTGCCTCCTGAGTGCTGGGATTAAAGGTGTGTGCCACCACCGCCTAGGGAGATAGAGATTTCTTAAGATTATTCTGTGGGCAGTAGTGAGAAGCCATTGGAGATTTAAAATGCAACAATATGGCATTAAACAACAAAAAAACATTGCAATGATGAATGCAGGAGACTGAGCATCGACTGCAAACGTGAGTTTGCGAGGTGGTGGGGTGGCTCAGGTTAGGGTGGGGGGACCGGGCAGAAACAGAACAATCCGAGAATCTCTTGGCTATGTGATGCTGGGAGGATAGAAAGGGGATTGGAAAGGTAGGGCGTGTCATTAATGAATGTGGACTTTATTCTGCAAGGATAAAGGAGAAGCTATTTAAACGCCTCAGCTATCCGCCCGATCCATTCGGATGCGGGCATATAAACATCACCTGGCTGCCAGGGGGAACCGTCTCTGAGGACGCTGCGCAAGGTAAGGCCGCGAGCGGGGTGCAGCCGGGGTACAGAGCGGGGGAAGCTGGAGAATGACAACAACAACAACAAAAACAAACAAACAAAAAAAGCACACAGTCAGTCCCTTAAAACTCAGCGCCACGCTGGGGGCGGGGCGCGCGGGGCCCGGGGCGGGGACAGAGCACGCA